TTATATGTATGTATAGATACATATGTATGTATACATATATATATATGTATGTATGTATTACATATATAAATATATATATATATATATATATATGCATATGCATATGCATTAATTCATACATATATATATATATACATTCATACAACATATATACATATATATATATAAATATATTTATATATATATATATATACTGTATATGTATTTGTCTGCGTGTATATGAACACTTACTTATACTTAATGAAAACAACAGCTATTACCTGCTCACGTCTACAAAGATCGAGGAGATGTGCTGAATTTTCCAGAAGTAGAATCCGCTCTCCGCGAGGAGAAATAAATACATTGCGAAGAGTGTCCCGTATTGCTGAATATCGAAGTGCGATAATAAATATATATAGAATAAGATAAAGGGACAAACAGGGTGCTAGCTACGCGACAAGACACAAACACTAGAAAATGATTGTTGAAGTTGAATCACGGTAGAACACACTTTGACATATTCGATATCAAAATTTTTCATATATGTATGTATATGTATATATATATATATATATATATTCATGTATGTTATTCATATACATATATACATATATACATACATATACATATATACATACATACATATATATATATATATTATACATTTCTATATATATATATATATGTGTGTGTGTGTGTGCGTGCGTGTGTATATGCATATATATTTATATATCGATATATATATATATATATAATGTGTGTGTATATGAATATATCAACACATACAGATGTATATATATATACATATATAAATATATATAATATAAAATATAGATATAGACACGAAAAAAATTATACATTTCAATTCTACATATCACGAGTTTACATTGATTGAAAGGATACGGCACTTACCTGGAGGTGACTGACTTGAGTGTTGACAATATGTAGTACGAATACTGGGGTAACTGCTGCGATCGCAAGAGGGACGTGGTAAAGAAGACCGGAGGCATACGATGCATCTATGTCATTGCAAATCCATATCTTGTAGATTATTCTCTGCACAGAAATGACAGAATTGTGTGAGATAGTATAAAACACACCAGACTACTTGGCCTCGCCCACTCTGTGGTCTACAATGACCAGCCCTGATTTATAGAAGGTAACTCAACGCTCAGTTACGACACATAACTATAGGTCGTGCCTTACGAAAGAAGTAAAAGAACCGTGTTCGGGAGTATTCCTTATGCCGTATAAATCGCTCACTGCACACAAATAAATAGGATTGTATGCGTATGGATCACTTGTCCTTCTGAGTGTACCCCCGGGACAGTAGCTATACTGTTTCAGGGATAATGTCCGAAATCGTGTCTAGGAGGTGTTGCCCTTATTCGCTTGTTGCGATGATTTCAAACTTATCTCAAAGTCACAAAAAAAAACAGCGCCCAAGTATTGTCCAGCTCATTATCTAACCTCATGCAGAAAAGCTCATATGAACACTAATTTGTTCTCCGGATACATAGCCACCTGGCCTGCGCTATAGACCACAAAATGACCCTAGCCCTATTTGCCTTATCAGTTACTATTTTTCCATGACTCTTATACTATTGACACCAGCACCCCACCGGTACTACATATGTACACGAAAGTCCTTGCAGCAAGAAGTAGACTCGCCAAATTCAGGTGCTTCACACACAACTTGTATTAAAAATACGCATTTATACCTTGGTAGTGATGTGAGGCACAATAACCGTCGCAGTATTGTAATAAGAGCACAGTATTCACTTACCAGTCTCAATGTCACGGCAGAGACCACCATGAGCATTGCGGCGGCAGAGATGTGTATGAAGAGGCTGGAAACGGTATCGAATACGACGGTGCCGGGTGATATTGAGATCCTACTGTAAACTACCATCGCAGCCAGTAATCTGGTTATCAGAGCAATAGAGGTGCACACCATCACTTGTGTAATAAACTGCACATTGCGCGTTGCTATTTCTCTCTCCTTACGCACATATATTACGGCAACGGCAACGGCAGCAGATGTCACCAGTAGAACGACGTACACGCCATACACCCACGGCATAACGATGTCGCCGCCCCTGAATGGATTCATAGAAGAATCCTCGCCGACAGCATGGTATAAACAAACAATAAGAGTCCACGTGCCTCCAAAAACAAATAAATCTATTAGAGAAATTGTTACCCACAATGGGATACATAACCAGGGTGCACGCCTACCGTCGACAACTTCGATCTGGGAGCACTTGGAAGACATGCTCTGATCATCTTCTCCGCTCCTGATATAAATATATTCGTGTGAGTAAAAATGTGTTGATATATTCGAGCTGGTTGATTGTCAAAAGCTGAAAGATATCAAATACAAGGAACCAAGGGTGACTGCCACCCTTTATATAACATAATAGACATTGCAATATAATGAAAAATCATCAATATTCGTCAAAACTAAAAAACCTGGGTAACCGTGATAGCTACCACTATTAATCAATTGGTATAAAAACACTATTGTCGTCACATTAAAGATCCCAAATAAAGACAGTATGGAACTCGAAATGCTATGACAAATTTGTCAAAAGCAGTATTGATTTATAGTATTCACGGATATTCCAGCGAACAAAAAGGCAAAAATGCAAACACTAAAGCGAACTCCATGCTCGGTTAAGGCGTACAATATCAATATCTCCATACATGCCAAGTACTTACAACTCGGTGTGCAGGCGGACTCCTCACAGTTAGCTTTCCGAACATAAAATTTACAGTGTAGACTACCCATTCACTACACTGCAATACATCGCTGCTTTTCTATAATCTCTGTCAACAGTATGTAAATAGCGCATAAATTATTAAATCAAAACGATATGTACATCTTTACACTGCGCAGTTAGTTAGTATCCATCAAATATATTTATGCACATAATATTTATATAAAATGATGTTAAAGAATACGAATTCACTTGTATTACGATGACCCATTTTGGCGTATGAACGAGAGAACTCTGAAGCGCATCCAATTCCGCTTACCTGCTAATTTGCAGATCATTATGACACGACAATTGACAACTTCCATTTTTCTTGGTGGCCGAAACGACGGTAGAGGAGCTTATTGACGAGCCTGAATCAAGTAGATCACCTTCTGTAAAGAAGGTGATACTCGTTGCTGGTGCAGGCAGGATCGACTTAGTTCCCTCGAAACCGATTTTCTCTAAACTCATTACGGCTTGCGTCTGTGCGCCGTGCGGCTGGATTGCAAATCGCACAAATTGTAAATAGCTTTGTACTGGACTGATCTGAAAATGTATAAACTCCATTTTTTAGTATAAAATATGTTTGCGAATAGGCTATTTATTTTAGTACATATTTATTTATAATGTACATATGAATACGTTTTTTTTAAAGAAATCACAAACAAACAAAAAACTCTCTCTCTCTATTTAGTCATGGCAAATAGAACTTTCTACTCTCTATATATTGTAGCTACTCTAGAGAGAGAGTAGAGAGAGAGAGTCTTACGACACCCGTCACCATAAGAGCCCTCTATTAGTAGTATAGTAGTATTCCTACGTGTAGGTTTTTGTTTTCAAAGTCCTGATCTGTAATCCAATCATATTTTGTTCTCGAGGAAATTATTGTTTTGAAGAAAATCTAAGCCACTACGGACCGGGGGGATTGTCGATTTTGAGAATTCTGTCAACCCGTGCTAAGCGGGTATTGTCAGTCAAAATACCTGGAAACCAATACATATCGTCAATATCGTCAATTATAATATATGCACCGAGTGAGCCTTTTTTCATTTTATGTTCTAAAAAAACAAATTGCGGTTAATGAAATCACAGAACAGGACAAATCCCTTGGACCTAAAATCTGCAACAGAACGGGACAAAACCAAATTCAACAATGTTGAACTACAGTGCAATTGTGCAAACCAACCGATCGTTTTTTACATAGCCTTCTTTTCTTTTTCTCTCTCTTGTATTTATAATTTAGAAAGCTATGAAACCTATTTTTTAGAATATTCTTGTATAATTTAGAAGGCTATGATATTCTGAAGTATGGATCCACGAATTCACGCTCACAGGTTTAATAGACCATTGGCTCCTCTAGTCTGGGCGTTGTATTCTATTTCAGGTGGTCGGTGTAGATTATGTACCGAAATCTGATACTTGACTGTTGTATCGGTAAGATATATTTGCAAGTGTAAACGCTTAATAGTTCGGTACTTGGGCCAAAGTCGCCTTACGTGGGCCCATAAATATCGACCCTACGTTTGCGAATGGACCGGTCGCGGTTTTGGACCGTTTACAACTATATAGTGACGGGTGTCATATAGACAAAGTCATTTGTATAAAAAATCATATATATATATATATATTTACACATACATATTTATATACATACTAAATACAGTTAAAAAAAGAACGAGAAGGCTAAGCGAAAACCCACAAAACAATAGTTTCTATACAGTATTTATTGGATTTTCCGTTTATTTTTTTAAGGCGTACATAGCTGATACACAATAAGACACCTTTTTTTTTCTTTTTTCTTGAATTTTAGAAAGCGTACACGGCTACAGTATGACTATTTTCTTAAAAATAAAAATATAAAGACAAGCGTTGAGATTTCAGATTTGAGCACTTTAGACTTAAAAAAGAGTTCGCTAGTTGAGACTTGAGACTTGAGAGTTGTGCGAGTGTCTTGTGATTTGTCAGTTGTCATCAGTTGTCACTTTCTTCTTTCTCGTGTGAGTTGTGCAACTTTTATTTATTTCATTATTTGCGTGTATTTATGTAAATGTATGGTGCAGTTGCTTTTTTTTTAAATGTTCCACTGAAAAAAAAAACTAAAAGTCGATTTACACATAGAAGAAATTCGAAACCTAAAAGTGTATTTTTTTTCTTTGCAAACTCCGCGAGCTGTAGCGTTAAGCCTTTATCACACCAATCAAGATATCGATACGCCCCTTTGACAAATCGTCTGGTTGTATCCAATCTAACTCCGTTTAGTGACCACTACTTGTGACCTTTGGCTTTGAGCGAAATCAGCGTCAATGCCAACATCACTTTTGCTACCAGATGTGTCTTCGCCTACATCAGGTTCATATTCTGTATGTTGTGTGACAGATCGAAACTTATTGTCAGCTCCACGTAGTGAGTGTCTCATGTCCCTCCCACCACTTAGATGCTTGGCTGTCTTTGATGGCATGACTGACATCGTGTATTATAAGGTGTTTGACTAAAAACGTGTGTATGACTACTAAAGCGAAGTGCAGTTTTTAGGGTCTCACTCACACTAAATAGACTTTTAGGCCTGGTGGAATGATGTTTTGAAAATTGTGACACTTCGTCAGACCTTAGAGATAACCGGGTGATTTTCTTATTCGGGTCATTGTGAGCATTTTCCGCTATCAAACTCTCGAATCGGGTCCATATTTAATGTCCCACGCGGCCATGCTCTGTCAAAAAGGGTGATTTGGTGGAACATCTTTTTTTCTAAAACTTGTTTTTGAAAAAAAATGAAAAAATTGTATAGAGAAGGCAAGGAGGCAAGGAGGCAAGGACAGACTCCAAGCCGGACAGACTTCGAAGTTCAAGACTCCAAGCCCAAGCCCCAAGGAGTCGCTACTCGTTTGCTCGCTATTTGTCATTTATGCAATCCTGATCCTGTGCCATATGTTGAATTGTCCACATAAAGTCATAAACTCAAACAGCACTAATATCAGGCACCAGCTGCCAATATTCCTCACCAATCCTCACTCCTCACTCCTCACTCCTCACTCCTCACTCCTCACTCCTCACTCCTCACTCCTCACTCCTCACTCCTCACTCCTCACTCCTCACTCCTCACTCCTGCGTATTGTGACCTCACTCCCGTCAGTCCTCCAGTGCCAGTATGTACTACTCGTAGTACTCGGGGGAGGGTAGGCGAGTGTCGACCAGAATCTAGAGAGGCGGGCTGCGGGTATGTATTTACATACAACCGGTACACTGTATAAACATTAAATCTTTAACCGTTACTTTTTGGAATATAAAAGTTATAACTTTTATTTGGGATAAAATAATATATATGAATTATAAATTTGCACTGGAAAAGACGTCCTATAAATATCAAAATTTGGATCTAAAATGAATTTTAGCCGATCAGAAATGTTCAATCTGACACTTGGTTGCGACCTAAAAACAGGACAAAATATATATACTCACTGACCTGAATATTGCACCTACATAATTTGAGAAGGGCTTTTATAGGTATAAAAGGTGTCCTTTAACGTAAAAAAACATACAAAAATAAAAGTTATAACCTTTAACTTTATGAGGTTAGATTGAGAGTACCAAAATAAATCGCCAGGAAGATGCGACTCAATCCAGTCTCCAGAGGGCCATGTATTGAGAGTACCAAAACAGAGGATCTCACGACTCACGGTCTCAGGCGTAATTTGATTTTAAAGTACAGTTTTTCAGTTTCTCAGTATTCAAATATTTAATCTCATAGCAAGATAATCCACTGAGAAATTGGACAAGACCATAGCTAGCCAGCCAACTAGATGTGCCCGTCTATGCCTTAAATGGAATGGGGAGCCTAGGAGTGATCACGACCAACGTCTGACGCTGACCTCAGTCACTTCTTCGCGCCACGTGATATCACACCGGATGACAGATCACAGTACCAGCTTTATCAGCATAGTCACAAGAGACAACGCTCACCCAGCACACGCGATATGATGAACCAAGCTACTGTTTCCAGCGCTGATACAGATCACACACAATCGATCGACGACCGCGCTTTCCACCAAGGCTAGCATGTACACGGTCAGCAAAGGTCTCATCCTCTAAGACTCGAACAACGTAGGGATTATCCTCTCACCGACAGCAAGGATCGACGACAGAGTATGCCAACTGTTGCTTCAGAGTTCAACAACCCGGCGCAGATAACCCACCAGTGATAGTTATAGCTTTCAACTCGGTGATATTCACCGTGGACGCGCACCGCACCGTACGACGCACCGCATCTCATATTGTCACAGATGTGACAGCCATCGTTCTCGTACTCACGCACGCAAGAGCCGCAAACAGTCACCACTCCCACCCCCTCCGATTTTCACGGATACAAAGCGTGTCCAGAATCTCTGGCACAAGTATGATGCCCAGATTGCACAACAAGCTAGTCAGGAGCAATTACCACTTGATGATGACGCCTATCCTAACCTCTCATCGACCCACAGTCTAAGTCCCAGTATTGATGCAAATGGCCCCCGATATCGTTGTTTAACTTGATGGCACTCAAATACCTCACGGATAAAACTTTAAATTGGCCACTTGAGTCCCAAACAGCGTTCTCCACCGCAGCATTTACCTCCGTCAGCGGAACTGCCGATTCCCATGCCATAGCATGATGCTAGTCAAAAGTAGGTGCCTTATGTTTAGGATGCATCTAGGCCAATCCCGAAGTAGCGCCTAACGCCACACCACATTACCACGCACCGCACAGCCCAGCTTCAATCTGGGAAACGATTATACGTGACATCCAACAGGATGCGGACAAGCAAATAGGGATGTACCACAATCAAGCCTTAATGCCGCTCATATTCATCTCCATCAAATCACGGGAAGCACTCATACTGGTCTGGCATAAGGAGTTACCAAAACTATACTCTTCTCTTGAATAGCTGCGTATTGTATCGACTTGTAAACTGTAGCATAAGAACAATAAAGATTCCTAATGAATATCGTGTCACCTCTTCATGCGCTTAAAATAAATTTGCACCCTTGTATTGACTTCAGCATCATATGAAGAGTTCAATCTGCGTACAATCTTTGAGTTGAAATAGTCGTTGACTATGAAACAATTGTGTCCATAGCAGAAATATTTAGCCGTCCTTTCCGTTTAACTGAGAGTATCATGTCTACGAACTTTTATACAGTAATGGCTAGCTCAGCCCCTGACGGTCAAAATAATATGAAATTGTCCCTGTAATTTGCCGGGCCTCCACATTAGACTCTATGTATAAACGTACTCTTAAGCAGTACGCAAATTATAAACGTACTCATAATAGTACGAGGAACTTAAGCCTCCTAAATGTTCTCAATAGCACGCGGAACTTAAGTTTCCTAAAATGGTTTTTAATGGTTTTATTTATTAAACCTTTTCCATTCAATATATCAGATATTTGGATGAGGCCATTAAAAGGCCTCAGTAAAATACCAAACATAAAAGAGCTGGTCTAGTTCTATTAATAGAGCTTTATTTACTTTCCAATTTTATTTATATCTGAATACTTCGGTAGCGAGATGGCTCAACCGAATATAGGTTTCTA